TTTTTTTTTAGGGTTAAAAACGAATCAAATCAAACTGAATGATAAACCATTTGAATTCGGAAAAAACTTTCAAGTGTCCGTAAATGGTATATTATAAAATTAATTTATGATTCATATACTTTCAACCACGAACACATCTATATATATATATATATATAAAGAGTCAATCTATTTACCAAAAAAAATAACAAGAAAAGTCAACACACATTTAATGCATATCTTATTTGGAAATTTTTTAGTATATGCATTAATTGCCTGCATATATACATTTCATATCCAGATAAGATCTTAAATACTCTTTCCTCAAATAATTTATTAATTTATGCAATGATTTTACTGATATCCATTATAATTTATATTTGTCGATAATATTTTTTAACCTTTATTTAAATTATATAAAACTAATATCTTTTTTAAAAAAAATAATTTTATTTATCATTTAAAATATAATAATCACATCATTAAATGATTTTATTGATAGCAAGATAATAAAATTAAAATATATTAGTTATTCTTTAATTTGTATATTATTGTCAACCATGACAATGTTTTTATCACTTTTTTTATTTGTTTCTATAATGAACTTATTGTAAAATATTTTTCCATAGCATAGTATGTTAAATAAACTATAAAGCCTTATGATGCAAATTATAAAAAAATCTCTTGATTATGTAAGGAATTTATTTTGTGGCAATTGCTAAATCAATTTTTTTTTTTCAAATTATTATGAGAAAATTGAATTCTAAACATGTGTGTGTATTTTGTAAACGTCTATACACAAAATTTTATTTTAAATTTCATTACATAAAGAAGACTACTTCTATAACTTTTATAAATAATAATAATGACATTATATGGCTATCAATTTTATAATAAAATAATAATTGAGTATTTAAATATGTATTCTAAAATCAAATTTATATTAGTATAACGTGTTAACGAAATAATATATTAATTAACATGTTAATTTTCTGACTAAAATAAACGTCACTTATTAAAAGATGTGAAATATGGATGATCCAAACCTATTATTTTTTTGCCTAAACATACAAGTTCTATGGAAATGATTGATTATTAAAATTCAAAATCAAAAGATAATCATTATTAAAAAATATAAAATATATTGTACCAAAAAAAAAAAATATAAAATGTACAATAATAGGAAAAACTTTAATAGGTTATTTTGAGGAAAAAAAATGTTAATAAAAAAGGAACTTAAATAGTTATTATTCGATATTTTTAGCTGATAAATAACGCTGACTTTTGATTCCAAAGATCAGTACCCAAAACACCAAGAGTGCTTATCTCGTTCATTTGTCCTTTTGTTTTCTTCTTCTCTCAATCTCAAGAACCATCTTGCTTCTCGTTTAGCCATTTCTTCAAGAGATTCAGAGCCCAGAAAACAAGATTATTCTTAGCTGAGAATAATTGGGTGAAAATGGCGGATCAGTTGACAGATGATCAGATCTCCGAGTTTAAGGAGGCCTTCAGCCTATTCGACAAGGACGGCGATGGTAGATAACTTCTTTCTTCTTCTACTTTTTATTTTCTCAGTAAAAGATACCTTTTTTTTTGGCTTTATATTTAATGCCCATAACGAATTTACGTCTGATTTGCGTGTGTATATGCTGATATCTGAAATTCGTCCGTGGGTTTTTGTAATCTATCTCAGATCTGATTGATTTTTACATCTTTTTAGGATTTAGAGATTCAAAAAAAAAAAAAAATGGTTTCTTGTTATTAGATAGAGAAGTGGTTAAATTCCTAATCCCAAGTGCTTGAGTTGTGAGGTTGGTTTGTGTTGGAGCTTTGGTGAATATGTCAATAGGGTGAGTAATTTTTCTTGGTTGGATTTTGATGATAGATTCAGTTTGTTAAAACTTTGGCCCCAAACTATGGCTTTTTAGACAAATTGTCGAATGGTAGTGTTCGGGTCATGCTAATGGGTGTAACTAATTTAGTCTTTGACAGCAAAAGGAAAGAGATGGCTCGAATAATTTGACTATTAGTCCGTCGTCATAAGTTGAAGTGATAGCTCGAATATTTGAATATTGCTTGTGAATTATGTTATAGGCGTATGTGTTTACATGCTTATGATGGCTAGATTGCAACTCTTGTAATTTTCCGGGTAAATATTGCGAAATCATGATTTACGTAGGTAGCTTTACTGTCACCAAACCCCATATAACTACGACAATGGCTCCGTTTTCTAACTTTTATTCACTATTTTATCACTAATTACGCACTTTGTATGTTCTCCTTTTGCCGCTTCTCCCATTTGTTCGTTGACGGCAAGTTTGGCGGTGGCATGTCGAATTATCTTTCAGCAAAAATGCATGCTTTTACCGTGCGAAGTACTAATCGAACTTTATGCAAGAAAAAAAAAAAAAAGATCTTGAAACAACAACAGTTTACTGTCGAAAAGGACGACATACCATCAATAAAAATGCTCTCGTTTTGTTTTTAGGCTGCATCACGACAAAGGAACTTGGAACGGTGATGAGGTCCCTCGGCCAGAATCCAACAGAGGCTGAGCTTCAGGACATGATCAACGAGGTGGATGCTGATGGGAATGGAACCATAGACTTTCCCGAGTTCCTTAACCTGATGGCTCGCAAGATGAAGGACACAGACTCGGAGGAGGAGCTAAAAGAGGCATTTCGAGTGTTTGACAAGGACCAAAATGGCTTCATCTCAGCTGCTGAGCTCCGCCACGTCATGACAAACCTCGGCGAGAAGCTCACAGACGAGGAAGTTGACGAGATGATCCGTGAGGCTGATGTGGATGGTGATGGTCAGATCAACTACGAGGAGTTTGTTAAGGTCATGATGGCCAAATGATGTGGAAAAATGGTTTATTTGTGTAATATGGGTGTGCTGGCTTTTTTTTTTTTTTTTT